AATGGACTTGATTAGTGCCTTGTATGGTAGGGATAAAAACTGGGCAAAAAGGAAAAGAGAGGCCGATCTAGGCCTACTCTCCTTGAATATAAACGACCTTGCATCAACCTCCCCATCCAAAAAGCAAGCCATCTGGGATCAGATAAGGGGGGTAGAGGGCAAAGACTGGTCAGACGCAGTGTGTGTCCAAGAGACCCACCTGATGGACTCAGCAGAACATCATCGAGCACATAAAGAGATCTGGCCCTACCAGGCCGTCCAAGCCCACGCTCCACGGCCAGGTAGTGCCGAAGTGGCCATTTGGTTACCACCGGACTCACGTATTGATCCGATTTATTGGGCGGTAGACCAAGAGGAAGGAAGATGGGCACATGTTCTTGCAATGCTAGAACTGGAGGTTGTTGCTATCTTTTGTATTTATGCCCCAAATGAGGCGGGAGCCAGAGTAACTTTTTTTGAATCTATTAAGGAACGGATCCTGCAGGGCATCCCGATTATACTGGCAGGTGATTTCAATGCAGCCCCAGACCGGTGGCTGGATAAATGGAAAATTCCATCCCCTTGCCCAGTATATATTGAGATGGACGAACGCTCTATAATTGACCTTTGTTCATCATTAGGGGTGTACGATACATTCCGAAGATCTCACCCGACAAAACATACTTTTTCCTGCTTCAGGAAAAATGGACTACAAAGGACCTCTAGATCGAGCATAAACCTGATCCTAGCCTCAGAAGACCTAGAAGGGGCTCTACAGATCGCCGATATTTTCCCATAGAGCCTGTTTCCCGGGCTGGACCATGCAATGTGCGTCACCATTTTTTCATTCATAAAACGTCCTGATCAGGGACCAGGTTACTATAAATTAAATGCATCATTATTGTCATCATTCCAAACTCATATAAAAAAAACTTGGACACATTGGCAATCACATCGGCAGACCCTCTGCGACGACGTTCTGTGGTTTAACAATGGACTGGTCTTTTTGGCCAGGAAATGTGGCGAATTTTCAAAAGCTCTAGCGGCCAAACGACATTTTGAGGAAATGGCACTACAATATCAGTTAAATCAGTTAAAAGAACAGGAATAAAATACAAACCAGGAATCAGAGGAACTTTCCAGTGAAATTGAGTCAATTGAAACCCGACTAGTGGCCTGCATGTAACATCGGTGGCAAGGTGTCCGGATTAGGGGGAAAATGCGGAAACATAAAATAGAGGGAGCAATGGACTCCCGATTCTTTGCGATGGCAAGAGCTAGAACAGGGAGATCCATCATTGAGGCCTTGAAAGATCCAGCCCAGGAAAGAGCCCAGCCGGCCACCACCACCCCACAGTGTGTTCACATTGCCCGAGGCTTATTTCAAGAGTTTTTTAAATCGGAATGTAACAACCAACTGAAAGAACAAAGAGAAAAAGAAATTGATGATTTTCTCACCCCTTTGCAAAATGCCCTCTTAGAAGACCAAAAGGAGGTGCTAGAGAAACCTCTTGAGAAATCTGAGATATGGACAACCCTCGTGCAAATGGAGGAGGAAAAAACCCCTGGCATCGACAGCCTGCCAAAAGAGTTCTGGGAATCGATGTGGAGCCCCCTTGCACAGGACCTGATGGACTACTATCATGCGGTCTGGGAGTCAGGGCAGATGGGGGAAGTGGTGGGACAAGGGGTGTTGTCTCGTCTTTACAAAAAGGGTGACAAGATGAACATCCGAAATTATCGACCTATCACTTTGCTGACAGTGGTTTACAAAATGGTGGCGAAAGCCTTGGCAAACCGCATGATTCCGATAATGGAGGATATTATCCACCCTGTACAAACTGGTTTTATCAAAGGCAGAAAAATCCAAGATAATATCCTCCTCATAAATGAGGTATTGAAACTGTTACGTCAATCCAAACACAATGCAACAATAATCTTCATTGACTTTGAAAAAGCATATGATCATGTCGATTGGTTCTTTCTTGACAAATGCCTGGAAAAACTAAATTTTGGACCACGCTTCAAGAGATGGGTGGAGATCCTGCACCACAGTGCCACAACAAGGGTGCAGATTAATGGGAGATTGACCCCCCTATTGGCTTGGAACGTTCGGTACGCCAGGGGGACCCCATCGCCCCGTTTTTGTTTGTTATAATTATGGAGGCGCTGACAACAAACTTAAGGACACATAAGAAGATCCAAAGAATACGGGTAACCTCTATCCCGGAAGAGGCAATCCCGATCTGCTCCCTGTTTGCAGATGATCTCTCCATTATGGTCGACGCCTCACCTGAAAACATGAGAGAAATCAAAATGCTGATGGATCGCTTTTGCACGCTGTCAGACATGAGAGTAAACTGGGGAAGTAAGACTGAAGGGTGGTGGATTCACTACCAAGGGAGTAGGCCACCAGAGTCTCCGCGGGTGAAATGGGTCCCAACCAACTCACCTATTCGGATCTTAGGAGTTCAGATGTCCACTGAAGGCCGTCCACCAACCAATGATGAATGGTTGACTCGACCGGTCCTAGAAAAACTAACACGGTGGAAAGATCAACACACATCCTTATTTGGAAGGACTCTAGTAATCAACAATGTGGTGCTAGCGTCCTTATGGTACATGACAGCCATATGGTCACTCAATAAGACGGCACTACGCCCCCTCCAAAGACAGGTAGCGACCTTCCTCTGGCGAGGAAACCACGAATGCAAAAACACAATCAGTAGAGTCGCCTGGCGTCCAATAATCCAGCCGAAGTCCAGAGGGGGCTTGGGGATTCTAGATCCTACCACACAGATTATGGCCTTGACCCTGAAATGGTTAAAGAGCCTCCTTTTTGATACAGAAGGCCCCTGCCAGCAGATGGCTCTACAACAGATTAGAAGGCTGGCCCCCCCCACCCCGGACAACATAGACCCGCTCGGGTGGTTAGAGGACAGATATTGGACCATACCTAGAAAGACAACGAAAACAAACGACGAACCAAAATCTGACAGACGAGCGGCAAGGAGAGATATAAAAAATGACCCCTTTTGGACCGCGCTGCTCAGCACTTGGCGCGAGCTACCGCTCCCAGACAAGGTAGCCCCTCGGTGGTTGGAAGAAGTATTGAGGCAACCATTATTTGGGAATAGGTGGGTCACTGATTCCCATGGCTCGGTATTCCTTTGCACCGGGTCCCCTTGGAGGGGATGGGTGAGCAGAGACATCCTCAGAGTTGGGGATATCTGGGATCTAAACACAAAAGACTGGATCACCGAAACTCAACTGAGGGAGCGACTGCGATATTGCCACAATATTGGAGAAGCTCTAGAGGAAATCATTTTCTCAATTCCCTTAGATTGGGTAAGGATTCTGAAAAAAGGGTCAACCTTGGAAGAAAGTGACTGGGTAGGGATCAGGGGATGTACAGACAAAGTAGGAAGCGTGGTGTTATCTGGCCGACCGGATAGAGAGGTGCTGGTGAGCCTCTTTAATATCAGAAATAAAAACAGGCTGGTCGGGACAAACCCGGAAGAAACAAGGTGGTTTAAATAAGAGGAAATCTTTCGAATCCGGGTGCTAAAAGAAGAGGAACAGTGGTGGGCGTACAAACCTGATACCTCGATTGCACATCTTGCCTTCGATCCGACCGTTTGGGTCTGGACTACCCAGCTAGGCAGAGGCAGAACAGGAAAACAACACATCCACTTAATGACAGTCAAAGGAGCTTATCGCCTACTGCACCCAAAGTTGAACCTAAACGAGGTAGTAAGTGAACATTCGATAAGACACCTAAACCTCGAACGGAACACCTTACGACCAATCAAATGGTTCAGACTCAGCAAAAATCACCGACCAAGATCGCGTCTTTACAATGGCAAATGGAACACCGCTGCTTACCTACAAATGACTGGTTGATTGACCGTTCCTCTCTGGAACAGAAGGGTCTGGCCCTCCCCTGGTGTAAACTATGTATTGCCTCATACCCAGCAAGGAGGAGACCAGAAACAATTGAGCACATTTTTCTACAGTGCCTTAGGTCAGTCTGGTTATGGAGATGGTGGGACCGAGTGTGGTGCCTGTTAGGCACAACAACCCCATGGTCGTGGAATTGGCAATCAATCATGTGTGAAGCTTGGCAGTCGGAACAGACAAGCACCTTCGAAAGGAATATGTTCGCAGTGGGACGCAGAGCAGTCCTCTGGGCGATCTGGTGGAAAAGGTGCATCAGGGAGATGGAAGAAGTCTGTCCTGAAGGGCCGACTGTCATAGAGACAATCAAGCACTAGATCCAGGCAGAGCTCACAGTGCAATGGGAAAAAATAAAAGAAAAAATAACCTTTATGCATTCAAGAACGGAAATTAAGATACAAATACAATCCTTCTGCAAAGACTGGCTGGGAGGGGAGCAAGGGGACTGGATAGCGGAAATACAGTGGAAAGGGGGGGAGGGAGGGGAGCGGGGGGAAGGAAGAGATAGGGAAAAAATAGAAAGAGACTATCACCTCCGCTTTCATGATTGGACCAGGATTGACCCCTCCATCCCGCTGCGGCCCCTCTCAGATTTCCCTGACCCCTTCCCACCGCCTGCAAACTCAATAGTCGAGACCCACTGGTGCACAGGTGCCTAAAACATGCCTGATTGGTTCGATTGCTGTTTTTTCAGTTTTCCCTATTCATTCTGCACTAGAGCAGGCAATGCAAAAGGAGAGATAGGGAGGGGGAGGAATTAGTACGTACTAGCAAGATCTGGCACCGGTCTCATGGTGAAGAGATTCCTCTACCCTGTTCAGTCAATCCCCTGGACACCAGGGCAATCAATGCTGGCAGGTGTCTCCCTTGGCTCTTTTGATGTTTTTCAGACAGGGTTCAAACTCTCATGTACAAGGAACGTTGGACCCGTTTTCCAGCAGGTGATGCTCCCCACCAATAGATGGAGCCACTCCCTAGGTGCTAGTGGTGTATGCTCTTATCAGCACCACTATCACTGAGGGGGATGTTTTTTGTTCAAAAAAAAAAAAAAAAATCAAAAAAATTATGTCTGTATTCATTCATTGATTTATACATGTCCCCTGAAGGGAAAACCCTATCCCCTAGCATAGCACCATAGTAAACGAGGCATCAAGCCCAATTCTATCAATCAAGCCAGAAATTGAACCCGTGGAGCATATATCCCGTATACAATGATGTGAAAAGATGTCATATCGCACCTATACTCACTGAGGGTTTGAGAGATAAGAGGCGATCAACCCTAATCAATGCAGGGAGATCATCTATCCTATCCCTACCCAATGCCAGGAAAGGAGACACGAATCAGCATGAGAAATCACCGGACAGGGGTGGGGAGGACTGGTAAGTCGTACCTTCAACCACAAACCCCACTTCGCCAACCCCGACGAGCTACTAATCCCCCCCCACTGCGCTGATGGCGACATCTTCCCCATGATGGTGATAAGGAGCTTGGATGCACAACAACCCCTCTCTGCCCTGCTGCTCCCATGGTTGTTGTTGTCGGCGTTGTCGTGATTGTTGTTGTTGTTGTTGTTGTTGTTGTTGTTGTGGTCGTTGTCGTTGTTGTTGTTATCGCCGTCGTTGTTGATATTGTTGTCATCCTTCACGCCCTCGTCGCCCATTTCACCCAATCCCTGCTCACCGTCGTTGTTGTTATTAGTGTTGTTGTTGTTGTTGTTGTCACCATCCTTCACGCCCGTCCCGCCCATTTTGCCCATTTGCTGCTCGCCATTGTTGTTGAAATTGTTATTGTTGTTGTTGTTGTCCACCTTCCCACCCTTTTTGCCGATCTCGCCCATTCCCTGCATCTCCTCCACCACAACCACCACCTCTGTCATGAACTCCTGCTCCACCTCCCACTCATCCGCCTGGTCTCCATCACCCTGCTGCAGATGAGTGACACCGTTGTTGTTGTTGTTGTCATCGTCCTCCACGCCCGTCTCGCCAATTTCGCCCATTCGCTGCTCGCCGTTGTTGTTGTTGTTGTTGTTGTTGTTGTTGTTGTTGTTGTTGTTGTTGTTGTTGTTGTTGTTGTTGTCAACCTTCCCACCCTTCATGCCAATCTCGCCCATTCCCTGCCTCTCCTCCACCACAACCACCGCCTCTACCATGAACCACTGCTCCACCTCCCACTCATCCGCCTGGTTTCCATCACCCTGCTGCAGATGAGTGACACCGTCGACGTCGGCACTCTCGGCGCCGACCTGAAAAGAGAGCGCCATTAGGTTCTCGCACCATCCTCCAGCTCCCCCCTCATGTTCATCCCTGTCCCACGGATCCCCATCACGACCCATCTCACTATCTACTTCCAAGTCCGCACACCCTGTAGTAGCCGACCACGTCTTCGTCATCGTGCCCACCATCGTCAGCATACGAGACGTCGTCTTTCGTGTAGAAAATAATATCTCCATGTTGCAACTCCCCCACCAACTCCATCGCGTTCCCGAAAAGCTGCGCCCCTATGTTTGTCATCGTCTCTCTCTCAGCTGGCGCTACCCCTGCCCGCGCCTCTCAGACAGCCACGTCACCAACAGCAGACGCCATGTGGCCAATCAAGGAGCCACACATGTGTGCTGGGCGCGCGCACAGGCCCAGCGTCCGAGGAGCTTCCCTCCCGAGGCGCTAGTCGAGCCGGGGAGCCGGGTCTCACCGGTTCGCCGGCGTCGGGGCGCTAGCGCTAGCACAGCCCAGGGCCTATTCTGTCCGACACCATAGGCTCCCACCTCACCGTTTCGTAAGTGAATGTGCACAACACCAGACACCCTGCCCAAAACCTTTTTTATTTTTTTTTATTTTTTAAGCCCAGGTTGTTGTAGAGGTGGGATACTAGACCGATGGCAGTCGCCCATAGTACTCGGCCACTCGGTTGTCCAGCTGAGCCCGAAGACCCAAGCCACCCTTCCTCTCATCTTTTTTGCCCTGGCGCACCCCACCCCCTCTATCCTACCCTAGTGTTAACCACCCAGGACCATCACCCATTGCCATCTTGGCGGGGTGACCTGACCAGATAGCTGTTACAGGTACCGGGGCTAAGCAGAGACTCCTTCCCCCTGCTCAGCCCTGGTTGAAGCAGACGCCGTGCAAGCCCGATTGCACGGGGACTTCGGGAGCTAGGTGTGAACATGCTACTACAGGTCTTCATGAGAGTGCACAGTGGCTCCCATCTAGCACAGTTGTGTGGTGATGATAGAGAGTTGGGAATCCTCCGTTCCCTCGTGTGTCCCTGGAGCCTGTTCCGGCCCTGCGGTAAGGTGCAGTATCTTCTGACACCCCCGGCATCCCGTACTAAGGAACTGCCATCCCAGCCTCAACCCTATGCTACGTACTAGGAGGATAGCCAACCCTGAGTCTTGAGTTATGATTTTGAATCTCTTATCCTTATGTTGTATTACTACAGTGTTCTATTGTGTTGACGGTAGAGAGAGCTGGGGATCCTCTGTTCCCTCGTATATCCCTGGAGCCCGTTCTGGCCCCGAGGTAAGGTGCAGTATCTCCTGACACCCCCGACATCCCGAAGGAACTGCTATGCCAGCCTCGACCCTATGCTACGTACTAGGAGGATAGCCAACCCTGAGTCATGTGTTTATAGCTACAGTGTTCTATTGTGTTGATGGTAGAGAGAGCTGGGGATCCTCCGTTCCCTCATATATCCCTGGAGCCCGTTCCGGCCCCACGGTAAGGTGCAGTATCTCCTGACACCCCTGACATCCCGTACTAAGGAATTGCTATGGCAGCCTCAACCCTAAGCTACGTACTAGGAGGATAGCCAACCCTAAGTCATGAATCATGGACTGTATCATGAACTATATCTATTGACCCTGGAGAATCTATTAACCCTGTGTTGTTTGGTGATCTGTAAGAGGTGACAATCCTCTGTTCCCTCGTATGTCCCTGGAGCCCGTTCCGGCCCCGTGGTAAAGTGCAGTATTTCCTGACACCCCCCACATCCCGTAGGAAAGAAGTGCTATGCCAGCCTCAACCCTTGACTACGTACTAGGAGGATGACCAGCCCTAAGTCATATCGAACACAGGACCTCATGTGAACCATGCAGATGACCTACCCTATTGGCCTAAGCTATGAAATAGTCTATAGCTTTGCTCTGCTGGGCTCGAGTAGACCAGACTGTACGAACCACCCAGCAGTCTCGTGACCACCCCATAGACCAAGAACATCAGGATACCACAACCATGAGCTACCCCTTGGGTGGTGCCCAGGCAGTGTCTGTAATCCTGAGTCATCCCAAGGGTGTGTGTGTCCAGCCGTGCGTCACTCTAACACCCTGCCGGTGTCCATGCGCAGCATGGTTTTGAACCCCCAACCTTATACCACAATGAGCATTTCGAACCGGTGCTCTAACCACTGAGCTACATCAACTGGACTGGGCGGCAGTGTTGAGATATATGCACAGGTGACCGGCCCCAGATACTTTGAGATTATCATGGAAGTTATGGTGGTTTGTCATGATTACTGGTTATCGAGCTTCTGTTGTGACAGGTGTGGGGATAAAAGAAAGCAATTGTAACAAGTTGGTAGTGGTCAGAATTAACCAAGTAGAGCAAATTAAGCTCAGTGCACTGCCTGCTGTACTGCCCTATGGCAAGACAAATATGGTAATGGTGGGACGCGGCTTGGAGACAACTCACGGGCTCAGATCTCCCCTGGAACCAGCGGTGCTACTGCTGGGCCAACTGGCAGGGCTAAGTGCTACCTGGTCCACTTTCCAGCTCAACCTCTTTTGGTACATAAGGCTAGAAGTGCTTTTGATGATATGGAGAGCCCACTGTTCCCATGAACGAAAGAGCACACCTTCGGCTTTCCCCAAGCCAAACAACACATCATAGAGACTATTAGAGCAAATATCCATAAAGCGGCGAAGCAACTCAAGGAAACACTCAAAACTACAACGGACCAAGCCAGGAGAGACAACTGCATCTCCACATTTGCCCAAAGCTGGCTGAACCTGGACCAGAAGATTGCTGCCCTTGACGCTAAACGGGAACCTGATCTGGAAACGGTGGTGGAAAGATCAACACAGCTGGAAAGGAGGGCACTACCGATCCCCCAGCGTCCTGTGCCAGGCAGGCCCATGGTGATTGTTCCCCACTGTACCCAGCCTGGGACAACACTGGAAGACAACATTGAAGAGGACAACAACCCCAACCAAACTGGATTCCGAAACATGGCACAGAACGAAAGAACAGTGACACATCACCCCAACCCTACCACACAACTTTCTTTGAACCCCTCTCTCCCAAAAGTCACACCCACTCCTACCTCTCCACCCCCGGCTGAACAGTGGTCTCCGGGCACCATGGCAACACCGTGCCTGTCCCCCTATCCTCCTCAGACCCAAACCCCCCACTACCATTAGCAAAACCCAATTGTTCCCCCCCCCCGCCACCCTATCTCTCCACCCCCCCCACAAACCCCCCACTGCCAAACACTGCTCCCCCACCCACCCCTCCACCCCCCACCGACGACCTCATAAGGTCTATCTGCGATGATCCGACTTCCTAAGCTCTCCCTCCCCCACTCCCGAGTGCGACCCCCCCAATGACCCCTCCTTCGCCCCCCACCCCAGTTACCCCACCACCACAGCTTTGCTGAAACCAATACCCCTCAAAGAACTGTCACCTAAAAGCCCTGGCCAGGCGGAACGCGAAACAACAACACCATTATCAAAGGGATCTGGATCTGAGTATCGGGCTTGGAGCAACAGACGCCCCATGGGCAACGACTTCAGGATGGTGGCAGATTATGGATGCTGAGTAGAGCAGACAGAGGACATTGTAAGCCGCGCACGACCAGTGCCTGTTCCCGGTACCAGCTCTCAGCACTTCACTGAGGCCACTCACAGTGACCCGCTGTCTACCAAAGCGACAACTTGGAGAAGAGTCGATCAGGCTGGTGCGAAAAAAAGTACAATGTCTTCACATAATGACACGAAGTATAGTACACTACAGATAGAGCATTAATAGAAGAAATACTAGGACATCAGCAGTGACCACAACAACTCTCAATTTGCCATGATGGTTGCACAGTGCAGACACAGCATTGACAGGTTAAATACTAGGACATCTGCAGTGACCACAACAACTCCCAATTTGCCATGACGGTTTATGTGATCTTACTGGTATGCTGGACGCACTTTCCAGCAGGTGTTGCTCCCCACCAATATTCCACGCAGTCCCACTTAATGAGGATGCTCTTATCACCTCCTTATAGTGGGTCCCTGTAACGAAGTTCACCCAAAAAAAAAAGAAAAAAAAAGGTTCAGTGCAAATTAAGCACAGTACGACAGGGGTATAGCAGGGAAAGGGTAGAAATAATGCAGGGAAGCCAGGGGCAGGGACATGTTCTCGCCTTTGTCGTTTTCCTTCCTCTGTTCACGAAGGGCAGCGCGGTTAGTCTTTCACAGCAGCTGGGTACCATGGCGAGTCTCCCAGCTGAGATAAGACTCCCCTGCCTTTTCTCTCGTCTTTCAGTGACTCCATGGATAACTCATCTGCTTGCCGGGGACAAGTAACCGGACTGTTGCCCCCCAGAATAGAAGGGGCTGTTTGTTTGTGTGGTAAGAAAAAAGAAGAGAAAAAGGTGAAACCACGCGGGAGTCACAAAAATGACTTATAACTTATAACTGCAATATGGGCCAAGATACAGTTTCGAATTGCAGTTCGGGCAGTGTATACAACCCAGCTTTCTGGCCAGGTAGGGTGCCTGAAGTGCAATTGCAAACTGTATCTTGCCCCATAGTGCAGTTGCAAACTGCATCTTGCCCCATAGTGCAATTATAACTCCTTTTTGTGACTCTACTGAAGTTACCACAAAAAGAAAGTATCCTGAAATTGAGGGTCTCAACCCTGCTACTAGGCATTGCAATAGAGTCATTAATGTCAGCTAGGGTGATTCTGACTAAGACCTCAACCTGACAAAACCGACTTCTGTCAGAGCAGAGGGTCACTGACGAGGTAATAATTATGATGCTTCACCATGATATCTCCCAATCCTTGGTTGTTGAACTAACTACAGGGTAGTTAGTTCAACAAAATCCAGCATTCTTTCCCCCCCCAGCATTTCTAGAGCCATCTTTAGGCAGCCCAAAACTTCCAGAAAAATCCAGCGGCCTAGCTCAGTTGGTTAGGCATGCAAGTGGCATTCAGCAGGTTGTGGGTTCAAGCCCCACGACCGCCTGCAGCACACTTAGTTCCAACGGACTGTGATAGTCCTCTGGACACCCCTGACCGGTATTAGCGGGGTCTTTGAGCAATGTGGGTGTGAGTGCGAGCGCGAGTGGGTTGTGTGTGGTGTGTGGGAGAGCGTTGGCCATAGCCTCTGCTGCTACTCGATGCGGGGTGGGGGACGATGAGAAAGGGAGGCGCAGCTACTGGCAAGATGCTCGGTCTTTGCGTTAGCCGGACGCCCACTGCCGGCCCCACCCCATCTCTGACCACCGCTGTTGGGGCGGGGGGCTGCATGAGGGGCTGCATGATTTACCTCTTTTGCGAGGCCCTATGCTTGCAGGGGTCCCCTGTATATAGTCTTAGGAGTAGTGGTAGGAAGGTAATGAAAGGCAAAAAGAGTTTGAGAGAAGAACATAGTGTAGTTCAAAAAAAAAAAAA